GAGCCACACTTGATTAACCCATATTTTGCTACTGTTCGTATTTGTTTACTTTTTGTACTCAGAGTATGCCACCAGTTACCCCCCCCCCCCCCCCTTGCCTTTCTTTCCTGCAAAGACATGCTTTGCCATTTTCTTTCCATGATTTAAGGCCAAGTAGGAAATGGATTTTGATTTTGTAGTGTGCCAGCGGGGATCCTTAATGCCCCCTTCATCATTTGAACTACACAGAAGTCCTCGGGAGCCATTCAGATATGAGAGCTGAGGCATGTGAAAGTGTCTCTCAGGGCTACAGTGACCCGAGGGACAAGCGCAGTAGAGAGTATGTTCTGTACTTCGTCACATCACCTAGAGGGAAAGCAATTCTACACTGAGTAGACTTTGGATAGAGATTCTTTTTTTAGTGATTCTTGCGGAAAATGGTGGGAAAACATGTGTTTTTGTCTGTGCATTTATGAGGGCGTGAGATCGCTACACCTCTCACTATGTGTAGCAAATGGTAATTATGCTGTAATGGCATTTCAGTAAGGCTGTCAGTTTTACTTATTTTTTTTAAAGTAAAGACTTAGGAACAAACACGGGATGCCAGGAATACTTGGAAATAAAATCTCCCTAAAACAAAATATGATCACCATCCAACTTTCAGTTACTTAGAATGAAGCACGAGCACAATCAAAGTGATCATCACCCAAGTTAAGGACTTTACTGAGAACTTTCCATAGACTGCCTCAAGGCTAAATCGTATTGTTTTATACCCCGCTGGGTAAACACAAGCACAAGCTGATTAGCCATCAACAACAACAGAAGATGTTAAGTCATATTTACCATACCAGCATATCTGCCTTACTTACATAATGGCCTCTGAGTGATTTAGATTTAAGTCTGAATAGTTGATCAATGGTGATAACAAGACGAGAAAATTTGACCCAGCGGGGGGGATTAATGCAAGAAAAACATTCAATTACCATCACACTGATATAAACTGGGGTTGAACAGTTAAGTGCTTTTGAGTTTTAATACTAATTTAAATAAAAGTGCAGGTTCAACATTTTCTGATTGGATTTGTTTACTGTGTCAAAATGTTTCTTTGACTACATGTTAGAAATTAAACATGTGCTTCATGCACTCTATTATCATTTTCACTTACACTAAACAGTTGTGAAACACTACACAGGTTCTTTCCTTTGAAGCAAACAGACAAACCCGACAAACCAAATGCACGTATGCATTTAAAAAAAGAAAGGAAGTGTATTTATGTTTCTTTGTTATCTTATGACCACATATTGTTGCCACACAGCTTGTTTTTGTCTCAAGACTGTCCATCAAGCTTTTCTATTTGTCAAAAAGAAGTTAAGTCTGTCTGGAAGAGATAAAGACAGTAAATGTTATGTCGCCTTAAATGGGCACTGCAAACAGTGCAGTAATGTCTTGAGCGGCCTTAGTTCTTAGGATTTTGCTTAGAAAACAGAAAAAACGTGCAGTTTTAAGAAACATCAAAGTCAATATTCAGTATGACCACCCTTATACTGAACTCTCTTTGAGCTTTCTTAAGGTTTCTTATACTCCTTTAGTGGTCTTCAGTAATCTTTGTTCCATTTTCTGTCTATATGATTGCACATAGCTTCAGTAATGTTGGGGTTTGGTCTCTGGGAGGCCAATCCATGACTGACAGTGACTGATTTTTTTTTTCAAAAAACATTCCTATGATTCAGGTATGATGGCTGGACTAAAAATGAGACTGAAAGCCACAAACGTTGAGAGAAAAACTTTGAAAGACCTTCAGAAAGCCTGGAGAACTATTACTTCAGACCAGTTTAAAAAAAAAATACAAAAATGTCTGACTCCTTGGAAGCAAAACATAAAGAAATGAGGGGTGCCAGAGATTTCTGCATAAAAATAGGAAAGAATGCCTGGTATGTATCTGCAAATGACTTTCGACTGTCTTCTTCTGCGGTTTGTATTCGTCATTTACACTTAAGGTATTTGTAAGCTGTTGTCTAACACGAGTGACTTTATTTTCCCACAGTGTGTCACGCTGTTTCTTCTGTATTTGGAAATCCTGGGCCAAGAAAGAGGAACTTAGAAAGTCCCCGCTGATTATAATTAAGTGCTCTGGAAAAACACTTCCTTCACTGCAAGCTGACAGCATTACTCTGTATTTATTTATGCAGCAGAACAGGCAGGACATTTCTTCTTCACAAGCCAAGAAAGACATGTTTAACATATTTATTCCCAAAGTAGAGCTTGTGTCACATGAGAACTATGCTTAGATTATTACATAAATAGATGTTAAAATAGCACACTGACATCATAGCTAGATTTTTGCATTTATGTGCTCTCATAAAAAAAAGCCCAAAGTTTATAATGCCAACCGATTGCTATTGAAAGATGACTTTCTCTGAGAGCAAGAGGCAATTCCTTATATAGACAAAATCATTTCTTTCTCTGTCTTGCTCTCTGCCCGTTGTCACAGAGTTGGCCTTAGACATTTTACAGGACTGGATTATAGCTCAGGTTTTCCTCCGGGGACACTGGATTTATTAGCAGGCTATTTCTGGACACTTGTCAGATTCGTCTACAGCAACCCTTTAGCCAGTTTTCATTAGCACTCCCATTCAGAAACTCTCACAGTGCACTGGATAGGGTTCATACTCATGTTTCAGTGTATGCTGACAGAACCAGCAGGTCATGGTGATTCGTAATGCCCTTTTGCACAGTCCACTGATTCTGTGAGGCTTTACTTAATGCTGCTGGTAATGTCAAAGTCACTTTTTTTGCCATCATGATTGTATGACCAGTGATCCGACATGAGCTCAGTGGTCTTTCCCGCAATTTGTTCAGCTACAGACCTGAGTAGGATAAAGAGATATATTGTTGGAACCTTTTTCTCTGAGGTGAGCTCCGCTGCGAGCAGTCTCTATAAACCAGATGGGAGCTGCACCCTTTATAGCACAGGGTCGAGGTAGTATAAATGGAGAGTAAGATTTCCATAGAGGAAATGGGACGTATATGAGGGTCACTGCAGTATAGGCTAAACATAAGGTGTCCACAGAATGAAGGAGTGAAGGAAAGAGATAATAGAGACTGAGGTTTATAAGAACAAAACACAGTCTGTCAGGGAAATGCATATAAATCATATATATATCTTTATAAAAGAAAATAAAAAATATCCCTGACAACATATTTCTACAATATCTGCCTCTTATTTGTTCTGATACTGAAACCTGCTGTTTTTTCCATTATTTGAAAAGGCAAATTGTTACATCCGACACCTTTCAGATTGTTTCTTGTGTCGTCTCAAGGTTGAGAAGCAGATCCAACAGCACACATAAAATCTAGGTTAATACAACCCTGCAGGTTTAAAAGTGTGCCTGTGCAAAAGAGTAGATCTAAGCAAAAGAAAAGGCGGCTCCTGCGCGCAGGTGTTTGAAGCAGCAATCAAAAGCAGCAAATGGAATACACAGAGAAATCATTTTCATACAAACTACTGTAAAGAAGGATTTCCATCAAGAGAAGTGCTGCTGCACTCAGGTCATTAATCAACGCTTGCTCGAGGTGACTGGACACTGTATTGCCTCAACAGCAGCCGGGATAGAGTCTCACTGTGCAGCACTGCGTGCCCTGGCAATCAGACGGCACCCTCTGTGGTGGTATGTGTGTGTGTGTGTGTGTGTGTGTGTGTGTGTGTGTGTGTGTGTGTGTGTGTGTGTGTGTGTGTGTGTGTGTGTGTGTGTG